ACAAAGTATTACTCTACGCTTCAAAGCAGAATAAGTAACGTGAACACTTTGAAAATGTACTTTAAAACAATATAAAATAAATTTTTATGAATTGTGTAACAGATCTACAAATGATGTGACGGTTCCCCCTGTTCAGTATAAGTGACCCTTTTAATAAAATTTATTATTAACCAATTGACTGTAAGAAATTCTGACTAGTAATTAATCACATGTGAATTATCAAATCTGCATTTACGCCCCCAAACAATGCGGATTTTGTGGAGAAACATCATTAAAATGTTACTCCCACTTTCATGAAATCCAATTTCGGTACAGAAACTTCCCGTTAAATTATTTTTCAAATGTTTAGCACTTTTAATATCATAATTTACTGTTATTAGAAACGTCGCCAGAAAAATATCCGGATGCATAATGCCACAATTTTTTATGCACTGCTCCGCTCCTGATTTATCAGTCCATTTCCGGAACGTTTCTATATCACTCCGCCCCTGGTATTTTAAATACTTTGTCTCAGAAACTTTGTCAAAAAAGAAAAATCAATAAATGTGTCGTTAATGATGATGCTCGATAAATAAAAATTCAATATTGCATTGATCAAATTCAAACGGAGTCATAAGGTGCATATCAGTCGGAGTAGCATATCCGACTATCAGATTATATAAAATTCACACGAATACATATGCAAGCTTACAGATTGCGTTTATAATAAAGTCAAGGTAGGCCTTTCTAAATATCTTAAAAATAAATGTGTGTAAATTCTCAATGAATTATATGCACTATACTTTCAGACTTAGGTAGAAACTTAATTAGAGGTGAAAACTCGATAAAAGGACTTGGCATAAAATTGCTGAATATTAAATATAATTAACAATTTAATAGTACAATAAGAGAAATGCAGCTCTTTGTGAAAACATTGACCGGGAAAACTATCACTCTAGAAGTAGAGTCGAGTGATAAAATTGTCAAACTTAAACAACAGATACATGATAAAGAAGGCATTCCCCCTGATCAACAACGATTTATTTTCGCTGGCTTACAATTGGCGGATGAGCGAACCTTGTCATATTATAAAATCCAAAAGGAATCTACAATGCTTCTTGTACTTAAATTACGTGGTGGAATGTTTCATGAAACTAGCGGCCGCACAGGATTTAATGAATTACCACAGCTACCTCAACCTAAAGAACGCACAATTCCTGAGAGAACCGTTGTCACTTTGAAACTTCCGACTACAAAAGAGGAATTATTAGCATTGCTACGTGAGGAAGAAAGGAGAAGGATGTCACCTGAATTACAAGAATTATATCGCAAAGTTGGTAATGATCCTACATGTGGCAAAGATTGGATGGATATCACTGATCAGATGCAACATGACTTGGTTCGAGAATTTGGCTATTCGGATGAGGCTGTACAGCTAATGCGGCGTGCTCCTCAACTTTATCCAGGTGACAATTATATCTACCATTATCAACATATTTTATCAATATATTTTTATGCTTTCAAATTTTTATTAACTTTTATTGATTTTCATTTACGCACAGATGATCCTGAATTTCGTACCACTCAAGTATATGTCCGTAATAATATCGCTCACATTGGAAACCTTAAAGAAGGAATGCAAGCACCAGATTGTCCTCTTATTCCTCTGAAATATTCTGACACAACGGTTCCAAATGTGTCCATGGAAGCTTCAGAAATGACAGTTCCGAATCTATTTGTAGGATCAACTGATAATACAGATTCACCAAAACCAATTTATTTACGCTCACTTTGCCGATTAGGACGGCCTCTAGTTCTCCTTGCTGGTTCTCATACCTGTCCTTTATATCGATATATATCTCATGTGCTTAATGATGTGTATGATCGATATCGATCTCGAGCAGATTTTTATATGATACAAATTAGAGAAGCACATGCTAGTGATGTTTGGCCGATTGGTAATATTATAGATGTCAAAGAGCATAAAACATTAGCTGATCGTTTAGCCGCAGCGGACGAAATGGTTAAAGCTACAAAGTTAAAAATTCCAGTCTTGGCAGATACAATGGATAATAACTTCTTAAAGTTATACTGTCCTTGGCCGTTTCGCTTTTTCATTGCTGTGGATGGTATTTTAAAACTTGTTGGGATGCCAAAAGAGGCTCATTACGATACAACTGATTTAGTTAAGTGTTTAGAAACTCTCTTAAAATAAAAAAATCCCCCGAATGAGATTAAAGCATTAAAGCATTAGAATCTATACAGACATTATGATCTTAAATCTTATATTAATTGTATTTTTTTTACCGTTTTATGCTATGTATCAGTTGTGCTCATTTATTATTGCTTATAAATAAAGAGTGGTGATTTTATACGTAGAATAGGATCGGTCTGTTATTACCGGCTATAGCTGGTCAATTATTTAATTAATTACAGTACTCCATCAAATATCTAAATAATTGAAAACCCAATTGTATGTTGGTTTAATAATTTCACCACTACTGGTGAAATTAGTGTTTGAATTGTTAATTTCATCAGTATCTCTAGTTACGACCCAAGAATTGAGATTTCTATATTATTTGGGCTAATATTAAGAAAACATGTATGTTGGATAAAAGCAACGAATTAGACCTAATGGTTATATCGGATATGCATATATAAGACTACAGTGTTTTATTTTCAGATCGTTAATAGTTGCTACATATTAAAGTCGAAATTTTAATATGCAAATTGTTATTTATGCATTAAATAAAGTTGTTAAGCTGATCAAAATACATGTGTTCTGTAAGTTTTGCTTAAATCGAACAACTTTTTATTAATGCATATTTGCGTATTACGATTAGGAGAACAATTTAAAAGATTTTTTCGCACAATCGTAATATACACAAATATATTAATAAAAAGTTATTCAATTTATATAATCTTTTAGAATATAGAATTATAATAAGGAAAAAAGGGTCAGGCACGAAATAATCTACTCTTTCAGTGCCTTCATAAGTTGCTTCGTCCTTTTATTGCAATGCGGTATGTCCTGGTGAAATGATTGTATTAGTGTATCTCATATTAACCCAGTAATTCATTAAATTAGTTTACTTATCTGTCTTTTGCGCAAATTTTCATTCATGAGTTGCATATATCAGATATTCCTGTTGGTATCGAGTTTTCTTCCGTTTAACATGCTATTGTTGTTCGCTGGTGTATTTCTGCTTTGACTGCCTTTTGATCTGTATTCAACACGAATGATTTTGGATGCCGCAAAGCAATACCTAATTGCAGTTAATTAAAATTTTGTCAATAAATATTGTCCTACTGCTACCAAAATTAGGTATGCATATAATTATGAAAAAAAATTATCTATGAACAAAATTCTACCAGATTTAGTTCTAGATCTGTCCAAATGATCTGCAAATTTCACAGAATTATGAACGATGGATGCCTATATTTCACATAAAGTACTCCTTTTATTTTACAAACACCACATACTTCTTTTATCTTACAAATGCCACATACTCCTTTTATCCTACAAATACCACAAATACAACAAATGCCATAAATATCATAAATGCCATAAATGGCACACATTCCTTTTGTGCATACGAAATGTTCATCTAGACCCGCTGATATGGGGTCTTTACCTTGAAAATCGCCTTCCGACATTTACGATCGGGTTAATTCTAGAGATAGGTTTCATGCGCATTTTATCCTCCAAAATTTCTCTTTCGATCGTTTTTGACATTTTTTTATTATGCGATATCATGCGTATTAATGCGCATTCATGCGCATTTTATTATAAAATGCGCATTTTGCCCAATTCGGACAAAAATAAACCCGAGTACCGGTTCATGTTATATGTTAATCATCTTTTACCTTTATTGATTCAGTAGTTATTAGATAAACTATTAAATCAATAAAGTTAACATATAAACATGAACCGGTGCTCGGGTTTATTTTTGACCGAATTAACACGATCGGGAATGCCGGAGGATGATTTTCAAAGCAAAAACTCATATGATTTATGCAACGATTATTATTTTTAACAACCAGAAATTAAATAAAAATCTGACATCGGCTATAATTTTAGCCAGTCGGCTAAACCCACCAGGAAATTTTAAAATTAGATTATAATCGAAAGGATTATAAACGATTATCATCACCACTGTCGACTAAAATCGATTGGATTTTCATCGATTATCATTGTAATCGATTATAATCAATTGATATATAGATTTATATCAATCAATTTTGATATGAATCGATTATCAACACCACCGTCGATTATAATCGCTTGAAGCCAATCGATTATTGTTTGTAACCGATCATAACCAGGCTTCAAATTTCCTGATGGAGTTTCGACACATGTTTATTTGATACTTGACTCAAAACGACATTAGTATATAAACCTGAAAACGTTAAATCAATTTGTTGGTAATTTACCTTAAAAGAAACTACCATTGTGTACTGACCAAAGTACCTGGGGCCAATACAATCTAACCAAAAAAAACTTATAAAGTACCTGTGGGTATCTTAATCGATGATGGGTATCTTGTATGGTGGTACTTTGTATGGTCTTATATATGTAATGCAGAAATTAATATGTGTTAATGTGAAAAATGCCATGCAAAATACCTGGGTATTATCCACAGTTAAAAAAATGCTATATAAAGTACCTGTGTATTTTGAGTAGGAAGTATGCAAAAAGGGGTACTTTGGTTAGTGCACTATAGTAAACAAATAATTGAGATATTTAGTATTAGAATATGATTTATTCTTAAGGGTAGAGTGTATATAGATCATTTTATCATATGATTTGCATGATATTTTTTGATTTTACTAAAAAATTGAAATTGTTACTAATAAAACTTTTTATAATTATGTTTAATTTTTATTAAAATTTTATAGAATATTGATTAATATATGTTTTTTACAATTACAGTCTGCCTTTTATACAGTCACTCTCTATATAGTCACACCCTCTTTATAAGCACATTAATTTTAAGAACAAACATATATTAAATGTAAGAGATTTGACTTCTATACAGGCATAATTTCTTATAAGCACAGATTTCTTGAAACTGAGAGTGTGATTATAGAGAGATTAGACTGTATATAAAATTTAATATTTATCTTATAATTGCTGAGATTTTTTTAATTTTCAAGATTACACAGAAATTATTGATTTTAATTGGTTGATATCACATGTTAAAAATCTTTAAATATGAATTTTTTATATTTTTAAAATATTAATAGATAATCCATCTGTCATCTGAAGAGAATCTGCAAATTTTTATAAGTAAATTTTATTATTAAGCCAAATATAGAGTGTTCTAATTTAAAACCTTTTTCTTATTAAGTAATTACTCTTAGACTTTTAATAAAGTTGTAGAGCTCATTAAGACACATCTAATGATAGTAAAAATGTTAAAATTGGCTTAGTAGTTTTTGAAAAATCTTTAAAAAATGTTTTATTGACAAAATTTTTTTAAAAAAAATTAATTTTTTTTAAAAAAATTCTATATGTTAGCAAAATGTTTTTTAAAGGTAGAGGGTATTGTTACAGAAAATTTCTTCGAAATTTTCCTTACTATATATATTTTCTTTTCTTTTTGTTGTATAGTTCGTCTTTTCTATATATAAAAGCAGTAGATTATGTGAATGCGATAGAATTAGCACATGTATGGGTTCGAAACCCGAGGTTAGGGTTTAAACCCTAGGTCTGGGTGTGGAACCTCAGATCTGGATCTGAAACCCCAGATCTGGGTTCGAAACCCCAGATCTGAGTTTGGAACCCTTAACCATCAAAATATATAAATAGGATGCTTGCTTAATAAATAAAACAACTTTTTCTTACTCTGCTCAAGTAATAATTACAGTGGATATGTGACTAGTTCTTTCTTATTTCTTGTACCCAATAATAAATATTATGTACTGATCTTGTTTATTAAGTAATACATAGTACCCAACCATGACCTAAATGTAACCTGCGGTAACCTATCTTGGACCTAAACGTAACCTGCGGTAATCTATCTTGGACCTAAATGTAACCTGCGATAACCTATCTTGGACCTAAACGTAACCTACGGCAACCTAACTTGGGCCAATACGTAACCTATAATGACCTGCCTTGGACCCTAAGTGACCGAAGTATAAACTGTGACGATCTCTTCCAAATATAGTCCTATTAATTGATAATTATTACTACATACGAATCCAGGTTGTGCTACTTACCATTAAGATTTATGCTTGCGGCGCTGGACTAAATTGGCGTGGATACATAAAAGCTCTCCCTAGCCATAACAATATACAACTTTTGGTTGCTTATTTAAATAGTCTATCTGAAGCTTCTATACTATATGCCATATCTGTAATCTAACTAGAAGATTACTTATTTAAACTCTCTGATATCTCTCATCCTATGCTACTACTACAATTATACTAGCCTATAACTTTGTGCTACTTCAATTGAAGACTACTCAGATTGTTATGTGCTATAACTGTGTTCTAATTCTATAGATAACCTAGTAGAGTTCTCATACTTACTGGGTTACTCTAAAAGAGGTGTAGTATATATTATCTAATCTTTCTATATCTTATACATTTTTAGATTAGCTTTGAATACCTTCTGCAGCAGCTAAAACCACTACTAGCAATTAGAGCTAACCATTAAATTGCATAATTTCAGTATTTAGACTTAGTGTTCTGAAGTTCAGTTTAATTTAAGTTCAAGTTTAAGTTCAATTGAATCTGAACTAAACTTTAAATTTTGCAGATCTTTGAACCTGAATCTAGACTGAACTTTAAATTTATGAACTTGAACTGAACCTGTACTCAAAGTTTTGATTTAGTTCAAGTTCAGTTCAAGTTCATAAACATGTTCAAGTTCAATAAATTATATATATTATATATTATTAAAATAATCTACTTCTAATAATAAGTTATTTTCTTTTTTAAAAGAAAAATAAAAATTTTGATTAAAACTCTTTCTCATAGATCCTAATTCTATAAGAAATACAAACAATTCAAAATATATATTTTTTTTTTATTTTGAATTTGCTGTATATATGATAAGATTAGTTACAGATTTGTATCAAGATGATATTAATTTTGAACTATCTATTATATTCTGTATAACCACCTAAGTGTAGCAAATCACCTCTTAATTTTCTATTTGTAAACTAATTTAAGACTAGCTACTATTAGTTATAGAAGAGAAAAGAGGAAGCCCAAATCAAAATATGTTAAAACTATAATAAAATAAATAAATAAAATACAAACTGCTCTAAAGAACCTAAATACAACATAAAGTATATACAATAAACAACAAACATAAAGTGAAAAAAGAGTAGTGACAACCATATAACAAACAACAACAAGGAAACTACAAGGCTCTTGGGCCCTATTATACTATTTACTTTAAATATATAACACAACTTCAAATAGACAACAACAACAACAATATTAATACTAGCAACAATAAAGAAAAGAAAAAGATATAAATTAAACCTGACTCTACATACACAGACACAAGTGCCAAAAGATGGTAAATGTTTCTTCCAAGACTACTTCCTAATATAATAAGTGGGCAATTTGAATATGTATCATTTTAACAATAATCACTTCACTGACAACTTAGTTCACTGACAACTAATTTACCAACAAGTTCATTTCATCACAATTTATTCATCGACAAGTTCATTTCACCAACAAGTTTTTTATAAATTACACTAACCTTAAAACTAATTTAGCATGACCTTAACAATAATAACCAGAATTACTTTGTCTGTGAAATAAGCTGTCAGTGGATTAATTGTTAGCGAAATGAACTTGTCAGTGAATTAATTGTCATTGAACTAAGTTGTTGGTGAAGTGATTGTCAGTGAAATGAGCACCACCTGAGCAATTTAGCTTATACTCATCAAAAAAAGTGATGACATCATTATTGATCAACAACAACAACTGAGTAATACAAACAGGTTTCAACATCCAAACTATTATGGTGAGAAAAAACAACAACATGATTCAAAATAACAACAATAATATATAAACACCCCAGAACAGCAATCTTAAAACAGTAAATATGCTAGCAACACCTAACTTCAATACAATATAGGACCCACAAGACAAAATAGAAACTAACTCAGCCTCAACAATCTCTGCAAACTATGATACTCTAAATATACTTACCTATAGCCAAGTAGCAAAACAAAATCTCACTAAAAATTAAATGCAGCTTGATAAATATCTTACTCAAAAATAGCTAGAACATATATATACAGAACTTAACAAAGAAATCTCTCAACTATATGACAGTACTATATAGTATTACTATAAATTAATTAACAATATGCAGACCAACACAGGAATACAAAAATTTATACAATATACTAAACTGACATACAACAGTATTTCTTTAGCAATTCAAGCAAAATTTAAATATATAGACTATACTTTCTTCCTTACATTCATTAGAGCAAAAAGATTTATACCACAACACCAATATGGATATAAAGAACTATATTATAATACACTGTACAATTACAAAAGTACAAACCAAATCACTATTACCAACAAAGAAACTAAAGATAATATATACCTAAAACTTCGACAAAAATTATTTCTTAATTTTATAACCAATACCAACTTCAACAGCTGTCCCCAAAACATATTATACAACTAATCAAATATTACAAAGGATTTACCAAAGATACAACCCTAAACACCTATGATAAAATTCAAAAAGCAGTTCAAGCTGTAATAAATAAAAGATTACAACCCCTACCCAACTATTCCAATGATATTCCTGAATATATACAACAAATACCACTATTTACTCTGTCTATAAAGAACAAAGAACAAACAAAAGCTATTGTAACAGCCCTCTATCACTTATACCAATTTGACAAACTACTAGGAAACTATTTTATAAGCCTTGATCTCCTCTCTACTCTTTCTGAAAACCTTTATCTAGCTGTATATGAACTGATAGATGAAGTCTAAGAGAACTTAACTATTACAGAGAACAACTACAACAATACTATAAGTTTACTTCAATCTCAGTCAACTACTTCAATTTGTCACCTCCCAAGCTACCTCTACCACCAGCTTACCAGGATCTTAATTCTGAACACAGAATATACTTTTCACTTAACGCAAACAACTGCCAAGGAGACAATTAACAAACTATAAAAAGATTACATAAAGACTACACCTTTAAAATCTTACTACACAATTATTATAATCTTAAACCACCACTACCCAAATACCCAACCAAAATTAAAACAACAAATAAATATAAATTTCTAATTACTGACAAACAGGAAGCTATAAATTTCATTCACAAAATCAGCTCTACTTACAAATTTAATATATTACTTCCATCTAAAATAATGACAGCCAATTCTACTAACAAACCTATACTTTCTGATGATCTGCAAGCCATTATGGAATACAGTATAACTATATCTATTATGTCAAATAAAGCCATAACTGAAGTAACTAAACTACTAAGATCAACTTATTACTTCTACAAATCTTAACTATATGGATCCAGCTTAACACTAACACAAACAATACTAATACAAACATAGTAAAGACAACAAAACCTATAATACCAAACAAAATAGAAGAAATTTACAAGTATCTGCAAAATAATAATATTGATACTTCACAAATAATATTACTTATTACTGACCAAACAACAGTGGCCAAAACTCTCAAAGTTTTACATCATAACTTTACAATCAATACTATCCCAGACTCAATTTTAGCACTCTCATTCTTTCAAAAACAATATAAAAAATCTTTTTATCTACAAAAAGAAATAAGAACAATAATAAAATAGATTATACAACAGCTACAAATATATTAGTACAACAAATTGAATCTTCTATACAAACAAGAGACTTATCCAAATCTTTTAAATATAGCATAGTTTAGGCAAGGCTTTGGTAACAAAGTTTAGATTGTGGATAAAGTAGCCCAAATCTTAGTTTAGCTAATAAAGTATATGTTATGCACTTCTTTGTAAATATAACCACATAACTTTTATAATAAATAAACTTAGACAAGACCTTGCTTTCAAAACTTTAAAAATAAAATTTCTTAAATCTAAAAATAAGCTACAGTCAGCCCTTTATATAATCACCTAATTGGGAGCATAAGAACTTTTTTAACAAATGTGTTTATAAAGAGATTGTACTTATATAGAGGTTTTTTCTATATATTTATAGTAGTTTATTTAAAAAAATTAAGTGCTTATATAGAGGTGTGATTATAAAAATGTGACTATATAGAGGTCTGACTATATTTATATAATTATTAGTAGTTGTTCTAAAGTAAAATTAGGATTTGCTAAGTAAATTGATTAATTTTATTAAGTAAAAGTTGTTCAAAAGATCAAAATATATATACTTTAAAAGTTTTATCTAAATCAGATAAACTTTTATTAATATATTTTTGTATATTATTTTTGACAAATTTTTTAAAATTTATATATGTTGAATGTAAAAATCAAAATTTAATTAATAAAAAGTTATTTAATTTATACAATATTTTCAAAATATATGTATTTTAATCCTTTGGTTATCTTTACTTAATAAGGTAGATTGATTTACTTAGTAAGATTTTGACTTTAATATATAGTAACTACTGATGATTATATAAATAACTTATTTTTAGATCTAAGAGTTTTTATATTTTTCTTCTAAAAAAAGAAAATAATTTATTATTAAAACTGAATACCATAAAACCGCGAAATAATGAGCATGGGCATTATTTCGAAAATCGGGACCTTTAAAAATGACATTTATAGTTTCGAAATAGCGCCCATGGGCGTCCCGAAATAACGCGCATCTCATACGAGTATTGTATATGAGTTCCGTCAAAGGAAAACTAACAATCTGGCTTTCAATAATATTTTGTGCACAGTTGGCCATCTATTGACAATCTATCATATGATAGATTGTCAATAAATAGCCAATTGTCACAAAATATAATTGAAAGCCAGCTTGTAGGTTTTCCTTTGACGGCACTCAGATAATGGTAAAGTAATATGACTCAGAAATTGACTTTTGACTCAAAATAACGCATATGCGTGTATTCAAAATAACGCGCAGGTGTTCAAAATAATGCGCAGGTGTGCGTTATTTCACGGTTTTACGGTAATTTTTGACAATATATGGGGTGCCTCGTATTAAAAAGGCCCATTTTGACATATAGTTTATTTTGAGATAATTGAGTTTAAACGTTTGTTTTGATTTTTGGACTGATCCGGGATTAAGTAAATTTCACGATTTTGATTGGTTAAAGGTAGCAGGTGACTATCGGGTAATCTCGTGATGCGCCTGGCCTTTGGCAGCATCGTGTAATTTTTCTTTTACATTATCTCCATTTTTTATTATGCAAATCGACCTTCATTTATAATTGAAAAATGTCAATCATGTCAAAATTTACATGAATCTAATAAAAACTCAATTTTTGAAAAAATTGCAAAATGAGCCTTTTTAATACGAGACACCCCATATAATATATATATTTATATATATAATTTATTAAACTTGAACATATTCATGAACTTTTGAACTGAGCCTGAATTAAACTTTTTTAAAAAAAGCTCAAGTTCAAGTTTAGTTCAATTTTAAACTGAGCTTGAACTTGGCCAAAAATTCAGTTCAGTTTAGTTCAAAGAAATACTATTTGGACTCTTATAAGATTCATTTCAATCCAAATACCTACATCAAACCAGTCTTTATACCATCTCTCCTAAGCTACCAAACTAGTTAGCTCAGATGAGTTTTTGTATTCCAGCTTTAAGTACCTTTTAGTTTTACTATTTTTGGTTTCTAATTCTATAGCATAAGACCTTTTTCTTTAGTATAACTCTGATAGACCCTTCTTGGTCCAAAGATTTTGTCTAGTTCTTAAGTCTTTGGTTTTAGCTTTTTCACAATATTATCACTACTTTCTTGCTCAGATCTTGCCAAACAGGTTTCAATTATTTCAGTTCCTTAAATTTTAATTGCTCAAGGGCTTCTATTTTAAGATGATAATACCAAGGTTACAAATGATATACTCAACTAATCATCAAATTAATATTACCAGTATACAGGCCTATTTTTTTAAAAATATCTACAGTGGGATTCAAACTCTAGATTTGCTGTTTGGGGATAACAACTTAACTACTACTCTAAGTCATCACATCTATATGAATTGGCAATGTTAATTATAATAAAATAAAAAATAATAAATATAATAAAATCAAAGATAATAAGTATAATGAAATCAATAATATGAAGTATAGTAAAACCAAAAATACTGATTATAATAAAATTAATAATAGTTATTATAATAATAGCACCAGGATATAGGATAGATTTTCTAATTATATGATTATTAGCTAATAGAAAACTACAATTTAGTATAATATAACATGATCTGAGTTAAAATATAAACAATATCAATTTTAAAAAAATTAACCATTATCTCAAAAATTTAACTAAAACATTACTCTTTGTACTCTAATTAAAAATTTTTTCTTTAACAATTTTATTTTAGACTTGCTAAATTCAAATCTAAACCTTAATACTAATCTAACTTTAATGAAGCTTTAAGTGCTATGATAGGATTTTGTTCATTATGTAAGGGATAGAACAGAAATTAGTAAATTTTTTAAAGAAGTGGGAGTTTGTGATTTGATCAAGTTCTATATTTTGTAATTAAATTTAATTGGCTAATATTTTAATCAGGTAGAGGGTGGGGTATAACCTCTTAGTAACTTAAATTCATCTGATTTCTGTCTCACCTTTAATTAAAAAATCTATCCTGCAGAATAGATTTTCTAATCACATAATGATCAACAAAATCTAATTGTAGTATTTAAAGCTTCATTTAAGTTAGGTTAATATTAAGTTTTGAATTTGAGTTTAGCAAGTCTAAAGTAAAATTTTTCAAGAAAAAATTTTATTAGAACATAAAAGGCATTGTTGTTTATATGTTACTTCTGGTTATATTATATTACACTAATTTGTAATTCTCTATTAGCTAATAATCATGTGATCAGAAATTTATTCTACATTCTGGTGCTGTTCATGCTTGATTCTACCTAGCATTAGAACACTATTTGTATCTCATATGATTTGACTAGTTGAATTTCTTACTGAAGTTGTGAAAATTTGACTAATCAAATAGCATACTGCAAATAACTATTAACTATTATTATAATATTCATTACAATAACAAAAATATTTGACATTTAAATATTTACCACCAAGTAAATTTTTTTAATGACATTTTTTTTAAGGCTAAAGTAAATATTGATCATTTTCATATAAACTATATAGTATTTTAAATTTTTACAGTACCTGACAAAGTTACTCTGCATCTTTAACTTAGTACAGAAGTAAGGTAAATAAATTTTTTTTTTATTTCAAAATACATTGCATTACAAGAAAAATTAATGCATTGTATAATCACTTTTAGCTTCAATTAGAGCTTCTATATAACCCTTTATACTCCTAACTAAATTTTTTGCATATTCTTTAGATAAACTATTCTATTCACTTGTTATTTTACTCTTCAAATAACTAGAAGTTCTAATTTTTTTGCCAAGTTCATCTTTATCAACCCCAAATGTTTTTAATCAGGTTTTGGTCGAGTGATATTAATGGCCAGAAGAGAACCTAGACATCATTTTCTTTCTTCTAAGCCTTTATAATTTTTAAACAACACTTTAAATCATTGTTCTTCTGCAAGATCCAACTATCGCAACGTTCGTTCAAAAGAAGAAGGCAAAAGGTTTATTTCATAAAGGATGATTATATATTTTGTATTAAGGTTACATATAAAGCAGAACAATCTGCCAAAGCCTGAAAAAAAAAAATAGTCTATACATAAACCTTCATCAGATGCTTGATGGAATAGGTTAATTTCTTCTTCTGGGAATTGCCATGCCTTTTTTATTTATTGATCCAAGTGGAAGGTACTTTCTAATGTTGTTAATCGAAATATCCTATTTAGTCAAATATTTAGACAATTTGTGTCTGAATATATTTCGACATAATGCTATTTTTTTGTCAAAATGTTAAAATCCTAAATTTGACTAAATGTCTGAATAGTTGACTAAATAAATATTATATGACTAAATGTCTAAATAGTTGACTAAATAAATATTATATAACTAAATGTCTAAATTGATAATACAAAAGAATTATATATTTTGTTGTATTCATATTGCGTGTATATTTATTTATTTGACTTGTATTAATTTTAAATTATTATACTTCACATTCTCTTTGGCATGCCATTCACTATTTTTATAAAGTTATTTTCATACTATCATATTCATTTCCTTTGCTTACAATTCAAATACAATTCTATATGTTTATCATCTTTCACTTGCACTTTAAATATGATATATATTATTGCACTATTTCTTCACAGAGTATTGCTCACAATAGTGATTTGAAAAGCATCGTTAGTAACTGGAGGCTAATTTAACTAAACTGAATCTTACTACACTTACATTTACTATTGGATGTGTCTCTAATTACCATTTAGTATTAAAATTACAATCACACTGCCTATACTGCATAGAAGCTTCTTTATCAAATTGTCCAAGAGTTGTGCAATCACAATCTTGGAGCTATGACTAATTAGATTATAAGTCTTTACACTGCTAAGTAGTCATGAAGCCTTTCACAATCAAACAGCCCTGAAGTCATAACTTATAAAAAATAATTTTATTTTGGGCAGTGGGTTGGAATAAGAAATCTAGCCTAATATCATAAAGTGAGCAATAGTGAAATGAAAATCTTTACATATGCCCCTTGTGTACATGATAGTATTATAATTCAAAAAAAAATATCATTTTATCGTAATATACATGATCTTGTGATAATGCTGACTCAGTCACTTTGCAAAATTAATTTTATAAAAATTACGTAATCAAGTATCATAAATGGCCAGATACGTAAAAGACCCAGGTCTTTTACATTCCACCAATTTTAAAACCTATAATAGGCCCTAGTATAGTACATGGTTGAGAGGTTATATTATTAAGAGGATAATTTTAAAAAGCATGCATATTTTATTTCTAATGGGCAGTTTAGATATTTGAAAAAAACTATATATTCAATACTTTTATAATCAACTAAATTTAAAAAATCTTTTGCAGTATAGGTAATCCTATTAATAAAATATATTATTAATCAATTGTTTTAGAATATGTGTTACCTATACTGCAAAAGATTCTAATTAATTATTAAACATCGATTCAAATTCTGCACCAAATTTATCTTCATCGAATTCTTTGATTTCATCGTTATTCAAGTCCTTATCCAAATTATTATTACTATTAATATTTTCGTTATCATTATTTGATTCAATATTATTTAAAACTATTAAATTTTCAATTTCAAGTTTTGAGCTTCAATTTCAGGATCAACAAGATCTTCAAATTCATCCAACTCATCAAAATCTTCTTCCTCATCAGCTTCAGAAAACAAAGCAATATTCTGAAAAACAGTTTGTATTTCCTCTTCAGTTAATTCCAACCCATAAAAACTTAATTCTTGTTTTGTATTTGATATTAAATAGGAACTTATTTTTACTATTGATTTTAAATTTTTGTTCTTAGCTTGTTACATCGATCTCCTAAAATCTATCCACAACATGATTATATACGCTTACAACTTGCTGCATGAGGATGTACTGAAAACATCTTAACTGCCAAAGAAGAAAGTGGACCTAATTTATCTTTAATACCATCACCTGTAGTTTTCCACCATCAAATTGGGCTATCAACAGTTGATTTATAGGATCTGTTATAAGGTTCTTCATTGCAAACATATTTATGTAATTGTGCTTTTAATATCTCTAGACCACCTTTTTTAGCTTTTGATCCAACTATATTAATCTATAAACAGCCTGCAATTCCAGCTACTCAAGCAAATTGTAATGGTTTAATTCCAGCACCTATATTTTTTAGTAAATATACTATATATATACGTTTAAAAAAAAACTTAAATAATAATAATTATTTAATAAATTAAAAAACAAACCTCGATATTTAGGATGTAAATAATATGCTAATAGATATTCGTTATAGTCAAATATATAAAATCTTTCATTAAAAATTGAGATGCATTTTCAATAAAACATTAAATGCTGATTTTTTGAAAAATATTTTTAATAGCAATACACTGGTCGAAATCAAAAATAACATCCTTATATCTTCAAATAATCGGCCTAGATAATAGCAGGCTGATAGTATGATGGCTTATAACAGATTTGATAGTAAAAAAAACAAGCTGATAGCCTGAAGATTTTAGG